ACACACACACACACACAGACGCATCCAGGCAGATCACAACTTTTGCGCAGTCTCCCTCCAGCCTCCCTCTCCCAGCCAGGCGGCTGCCCAGCATCCCTCCAAGCAGAGGGAGATGTCGCTGGGGGCGACTGACCCTTCTCTGGCCAGGACTTCAGGGAGCCTCCTAGAGAAGGGAGCACCTGGCAGGGTCTGGGGGAGTGGGGGGGGGCAGGAAGGGTCCGTTCACTCCAGCGAGGGAGGTTTGCACCCCCCTGGGAGCTCCTAATTCCAGCCTTCACCCCCTGGCCCCAGAAACAGCAACCAGCGAAGCCTCTTTGCATTATATAAATATATACCATAAAGCTAGGCCATAACTATTTACATTCTTTTCAATAAATAAATAGATCAGGGGGAAAAAACTAGTTTTCTTCTTTTATTTGGTAGCTTTGGTCTCTTAAATTCCTTCATCTGAAATCTTAGCTGCCTATTCTTCATCCTCAAATTTTCACTTCTGTTTCATCTAACAACAAAAGATTGCAAAAATACTCTCAAGCAAACAACATCTGATATTTTTTTTTTCATGTAATCATATCATATAAAGGAGGAAATTAAATCATTCACCAGAACCAGGGGGTCAAAAGCGTCTGGGGGATTAAAAATTACTCTGTGTTGCCTTCTTTATAAGACAAATGGCTACTCCAGGGATGCCTCGGTGGGGGGAGGGGAGGGGGATTCAAGATGGCAGCTGCACCGTTAAAGCTCTGCCCCTTTAAGATGCCCTCCGAGGTCCCCGAAGGCAGCCCAGCCATGGCCACTGCCACCCCTCAGGCCCCGTCCAGGAGCCCCCCAGGTGCCCCAGGCAAGTCCTCCTGGGCAGAGGGCCAGACCCCCATCCCTGGGTCGCCTCCAGGGAGCAGAGCAGGTCTCAAGCAGGCTGGCTCCGCTTGTGTTCCCCACGCGATGCCTTTAACTCCCCCCCCCTTGAAGCAACCACGAGGGGCTGCTTCTCAGCATTATCTGTTGGGGGGGGGGGTCCCCCTGGCACTCTCCAGACCATCACCTCGGTTTCTTTGGGATCCCACCCACCCCCATCACAGGGGATTAGTTGTTTTTTTAAAGAAAAAAGTCATGCTTCTTTCTAGTCCTTATAACTCAGAGGAGTGTTGCATAAAAATAAATATTTTCCAGCAAAACGATACAAGGAATAAATTAAGTCTAGTGAATAAAAAAAGTAGTTATGATCTCAATTTCCCAATCATAGAAGGAAACCCCCATTGGACAAAGTGGAGCAAAACTCTCCCTTGTTTAAGTCAACTCCAGTGTGTTGCACTTCACCCTGTAGAAAACACCGCGGGACACGAGGAGGAAGGGACGGTCAACTCGCGGACAGACAAGGAACTGGCCTCAAAGACATGAACGACCAACCACAAAAACAGTTCGGCCTCCACACAGCGTAACAAGCATTCCAGGAGCTCGGAGCCATTCCTCAGTCCTCCAGAGGTCTGTGGCAGGAAGAAGCACGGCGGGAGAGAAGGCCGCCTTCCTCTTGTCCCGGTGGAGCACTGAAGCCGTGACCAGGACCAGAAGTCACAGGGGAGAAACAGCAACGGGTACAAAGGGACGAGCAAGGATGGGGGGCATTAGGCATCTTCCTTAGGCTGAATGCTCGTTAGTTCCACCATCGAGGCCTTGTTGCCAGTTGCTGGAGCCAGGCCATTCACGCTTTGCCTCTCAAACATACTGGAGATGTCTTCAAAAGTCCTGCCTTTTGTCTCGGGGACTTTGAAGAAGGTGAAGAAGAAGAAGAAAAGGAGGAAGCCAACGAAGATCAGGAAAACGTAAGGCCCGCATGCTTTCTGCAAGGAAGAGAAGGGAAACGCTCTAAGACAAAGGAAGCCGCTCTGGCCTGCAAGGAGCAAGAGTCGGGGCCCAGGCAAGTCCTTTATTCAACAGCCACCACACTGAAACCTATCGTGCTCTGCGACATGGCCAGGCTAGAAGGATGGCACGCCAGAAGAAGAGGAAGCACCTCATTCTCAGGGTCACCAAAGCTCATTCCAGGAGCAGGCGAGGAGAAGGACCTCCCATGGCCTGGTTCCTCATGAGGAGCAGAAGCAAGAACTTTGCTCAAGCCAACATGTGTGCAATGAACTGCAGTGAGGCCCACCCTTCAACGTCTTCTCCTTCACCAGAGCAACCTGCAGTCCTTGCCCCCATTTAGTGCTTGTCCTTTCCTTCTTCTCTTTCCCAACCGTGGGGACCTTTTTGATGGCCAACTTCAGGGGAAAGGAGCCGACTTCACGGTGATCACACTAGGCCCACCAAGAGGCCCAGCGTGGAGTCCTTACCTCTGCGTAGGGGAAGAGCATGCCCACCAGGAAGTTGGAGGCCCAGTTGCAGAAACCAGCCACCGCCACGGCTGCAGGACGAGGGCCCTGGCTGAAGAGTTCAGACACAATGAACCACGGGATCGGTCCGGGTCCAATTTCAAAGAAAGCCACAAAGGCCAAAGTGCCAAAAATACTGATGTAGCTGATCCAAGTCTTGATATTCTGCAAAAACAAGAGAGTGTAGAGTGAACCTCTTGTAATCCCAGGGAGGCCCTGGTTGATCCCAACCATCTGCTCACCTGGGAATCAATCAACCAGGGACCTTTCTTGGGTCAGAAGGTCCAAGCAGAGACTGCGCAACTCCAGACTTCTCTGTTGAGCAGAGATGAGCAGCACCCACAACTCATTCTTATTTCTGGCCTTGTTTGGCCAGGACAATATTTTAGTCAAAGAAATGGCTAAAAGTGGAGAGGTACCTGGAGAAATATCACACGCCTCCTACACTTTCTACCTTCCCAACACACTTATACTGATTTGCTGGCACTTTGTGTTTCATCAGTTTTGGTTTCAATCTAGTTGGCCACTTAAGCATTGGGAGTGTGAGTGTGTGAGTGTGTGTGTGTGTGTGTGTGTGTGTGTATATAGTTCATTTTGATTCCTGCACTCCTAAACCGCTTGGGAGGAAGGCATCTCAAGGACTTTCTCTTCTTCTACAAACCCTGTAGAAGGGAATCTCTTATCTCTAAAAGGCAGCTGTGCAAAGTGGCCTTGATTGTCTTATTTCTATGCTTGATTGCACAACCTGT